TATATATAACATTTTCTTATTTATTAAATTTGCTTATTCCTTTTGCTTTACTTCAACATATTAGATTTAAATAGCTGCTGTTAAACAAATATTAATGTTGCTTTATTTGCAGCATGTTGATTATCTTAAGTATGACAATTGTGACAATGGCGGAATAAAGCCTACTGTTAGGTAGTAAATAGTTATCTTCTTTTTACTGTTATACTTATTTTCCAATTTCATTTTCATACTTTGAAAAATAAAATTATAATTTCCATCTTTTTTATGCGTAGATATCCTATTATGGCTCGAGCTTTGATGAAGGCAGGCCGTCCAATCTACTTCTCACTATGTGAATGGTATATAGTTTTGTTTGTTTTAAGAATTTATGTTGATTGTCTTCAGATTTTGCTCTCAAATTTTTTCTCTCTAATTATATATGTTTTGATTATCAGGGGAGACATGCAACCTGCATTATGGGGTAATCAAGTGGGAAATAGCTGGAGAACTACCGATGACATTACCGATAATTGGATAACGTAAAATATTTAAATAAATAATAAATTATATAATAAAGTTTGGTTATACTCTGTGGTTGTACAAATTATTATATCTAACTATTCTGTTTGCAGTATGCTTGCAAGGGCAGATGTGAATGAAAAGTATGCCGATTATGCAAGACCTGGTGGTTGGAATGGTATGAATTAATTTCACTGCGCTTTCAATTTTTTTTCTTTTTAAAGACTATGATCACTAATGAATATATATATATATATATATATGTTAATCTCATTGTTTGTCATTCTATACATCAAAATCAATAGATCCTGACATGCTCGAGGTGGGAAATGGAGGGATGAAGAAATCTGAATATATTGTTCACTTCAGTTTATGGGCCATTTCCAAGGTATTATATCCATCTCAATCGTTATCATGTTCTTCTATATATGTATATATAAATTAAGCTATGCTTTATACATTCCATTTCTGATGCAAAGAGTTAATGCAGGCCCCTCTTATTATTGGCTGTGATGTTCGCCATATGACTGAAGACACTAAAGAGATACTATCAAATGCTGAGGTTATTGCAGTTGACCAAGGTGATGAGATGCTTAACATGCATGTGTCTTCATGTACAATTATCCGTTGCACATTAAGCTAAGGTTTTTGTTTTGTGGTTGTTTTTAATATCTTTTTTTTCCAAATTTAGATCCACTTGGTATCCAAGGTAAAAAGGTTAGGGCGGAAGGTTCTCTCGAGGTAAATATCTCTTACTATAGCTAGTTTCTTGTATTACTACATCATATACATTGATAGTTAAATAAATATCTGATTGAATAATTTTTTTCGTAAACAAAAATAGAATAAAATTTTTCATAAATTAAAACTAATTTATATACAAGCTAATTGGAGAAAAAAAATTATTAACATTTTCAAAATCTTATTTTTAATTCATATCGATTTTAACTTATATGGAAAAGCATATTTTGGTTTTCATTTTATTTTGATTTTCTAGTAGTGCTTTTAGTGAAATTTATCTATATATAGATTCAAAGATAGAAAAGAAATAATCGTTGGAGTGTGTTTTATTTTTCCATCAGGTTTGGGCAGGTCCTCTTTCAGGATATAGGGTAGCTGTTGTCCTAGTCAATAGAGGCCGTCGTCGTAGGGCTATTACTGCTCTATGGGAAGATATTGGCCTTCACCCTTCAATGGCTGTTGAAGCAAGAGACCTTTGGGAGGTATAATAATTAAGTGACAAATTCCATGGTACCCTTAGAAATTTGAGGATTTTGGTACCATTATTGAAAAACTCTTTATTTTTGGTATGCTCAAAATCATTCTATACCAAAATTCTTAGATTTCTCTGAGTATCATAGCAAACTCTAGTTTAGTATATGATGATATTTCAATTATGTTTATCTTTTTCATGAATTGACACTGATGTTGTAATGTGTGCTTCTAATGTATGCATGCAGCACAAGACATTGGAAGGACATTTCGTGGGAGAATTGACTGCCACGGTTGATATGCATTCTTGCAAAATGTATGTGTTGAAGCCAATAGGTTGAGTTCCGAAAGATGTTTAGATTGCAGCTTTGGGAGCCATTAGACTAGCACTTTATTTATTTATTTATTTCTTTTAGTTGCTTATCAACTTTTCTTAATTAGTAGTTAATTTCGTGTGAATTCATGTTTCTACTTGTGGACATAAGCTCCTATTTAGTTAGTTTAATTTAAACTCGAGCTTGCATCTTCTACATACCTCTATCCTAGCATGCCTTTCTTGAATTATTTTACGACCCACAATTTTCCTTGTATGAAACGTACATTACTCTGTTAACAACGGTTATAAATGCATCAAATAACAAAAGTTAATGATTAATGTAAAGATCTCAAGTCAATTGTGAAATCGCAAATCAAAGATAAAATTGAACATCTAAATTATAGAGAAATCCTAATATAAACTAAACTTCATTATTTAAATCACCGTCTATCGAGATAGTATCCACTTCGACATAATATCAATATATAGGGGGTATATAGATAGTAATATGAATAGAAAATTATAGATTAGTGGTATATAGAAAGATCGTGGTATTAACGTTGGAGTTGGGAGTGAAATGTGCCAAAATTAAAACACAAGTGAAATGCAAGGTAGATGAGTGACTACCAAAATCTCTTGAGATAGATAATAAATAAATCTGCCTAATACAAGACTAAATAAATTATAATTTCTTGATCTAACATTTTTCAGATTTTGTACTAGAGAAATTTCACTATAATTGTACTAGAGAAATTTCGGGACCGATAATCTGTCGTCCTGGAATTACAAAAGAACTTGAAAATTTTGATATATATATATATTTGATTACTATAATTGTACCAAAGAGATTTCTAGGCACCGGGCTTGACATCCGAAGATGTCAAATGAGCATGCTTAAGTCTTCATTGATGTATTGACATGATGCTGAAAGAAAGTGTCGGTTTCTAGTGACTTAAGGGTCAATCTAGTATAGATAACTCTTTCACAATAACAATAGTGGGTAAAGGATAAAATGGAAAAAAGAAATGTATTAATAGAAGAAAAAAAAACATAATTGCGAATTCCATAACACACTTTGCAAAGCATTTGTTCAATTTATTTATCTCTATTACTCTCTCACTACAAAAAGATTGTGGCAGTTATTTTAATATTTTTAGGGGTTAAAAATCGCCACAAATAAACGTTATTTTAATACTAAATGCAGTTTTGTTTGAATTGTTTGACATTTTCTGGCAGTTTTAAACCTCCATAAAATTCATTTTAATTCTGCCTAATTCAATGTTTTTAAGGGTTCTAAACCTCCACAAAATTATTATTTTTTACTTATTTTCATTTTCTGGCAGTTTTAAATTGCAAAAAATGTATATTTTATTTATCTCACGTTTTTTTACAGTTTTAAACCATAAAAATATACTTTATTTTACGATACATTTTTTTATTTTATTTTTAAAATATATTTGGAATTATTTTAAAGTGCATTTTTATTATAAATTGACAAATAATAATCAATATATTTTAGGTATTTATCAAATTATTATTTAAAATTATGACTAACCATATTAATCATTAAAAATTAATAATGACTATATTATATTATTTAATTCAAGTAATTTATAAATAAAAATTTTACTTGTCGAATTTTTGGATCACTTATTTAAATAATGCAAATTGACAAACAAGGTATCTTATGACATTTTAAGTCAAGATTACTATTACACTCAACATGAAAACAGGCTAGTAAACAAAATTTGTAACAGCCAAAATTTTCGCGGGGTCGTGGGCCCAATTCGTTGCCTGGAACGGGCCGTTTCGAAAGTGAAACGGGCCGTTCTGGAATAAAGAATTTGCCTAAAAAACGTAGTTGAGAACGGGCCGTTCTGGTTTGGAGAACGGCCGTTCTGAAAGTAGAACGGGCCGTTCTGCTGGGTTTTGGAACGGGCCGTTCCAGTTGAGATTTTTGCTTGGTTCTGGAGGGTCCAGAACGGCCATTCCACTTTTGGAACGGGCCGTTCCGGATTAGCTGAGGCAGATTCCTATAAATAGGAGGCCTTACCTCTCATTTTCTCACATCTCTCATTCTCTCTTCCTATTCTCTTCTGTTATTTCTTCTTCCCCTCTTCTTTTCTCTAAAGACCATGGGGCACTTAGAGGAGGAAACCAAGAGATCCCTGTTGTAGTTTCAACTGTTGTTTATCCAGGTACGGGGGAAAAAGGGAATTATTTATATGTAGAGTTACATGAGAGAATTGGATAGAAGAAGAATCCTTTAGGATTATGAGCAATTTTATAATTATTTCTGTTTGGAGAATTATTGGTCTTATTTGATTCTGTATGAATTTAGGATTATGAATATATGATTTATTTGTAAAAATGATGCTGTGGGAGAGAGAACGAAATTATAGAAAACTGCATGTAGGCTAGGTTTTAGAAAAATTGAAATATTTCTGTTTGAGGAATTAATGATACCATTAGATTCTGTATGTGTTGAGGATTAGAAATATATATTTAATTTGTAAGAATGATGATCTAAGAGGGAGAACGAAACTGTAGAAAAGTGCCTGTGAGTTAGGTTTTGAAAGAATTGGGGGTTTTATTGTTTTTGTTTAAGTTATATGAAATTGATAATTCCATTGTTTATAATATTAAATGAGCTTTAATTTAATGATATTTTTTAAAATAAAATTATTTAATGAAAAACTAACTTTTTTTTTAGAATATTAAATATTTTAAGAGTTAAAATAATTTATAATAATATAATTTTGTAGTTCAATATAATGAATTAGTTATCTTTTTAAAGACATGATCTAATTCATATTTTAAAAAAACCTCAGGTACCACATCAATTATAAATAAAACAATTAAAGTGTATATAAGTTGGGGCAACACTCACCTTACAAGTTAATTTTGTATGGTTGAGTGTTAGACCTATAATTTACAATCTAAAAGTTTAAAAGATTATGTATCACATGTTGGAGGTGTGAAAGCAAATTTCTTAATGCTTAAGATGAATTCATTGTAAATATTTGAAAGTTGAAGAATTATTAATAGAATATTCACAAAAATTACCTTCAAATTTTAAATTCGCAATAAACTTTCTACAGTAATTTCTTTGATAAACTTTCTCATGAAATTTTTTCGCAAGAAATTTTGCAGGAAAATTTCTTGCGAATTTTAAAATTTGCAAAAACATATTATTCATAAAAGTGTTACCTGGAGATAAAATTTCGTAGAAAAATTTGCAGAAACAACGTTTTTCGAGAATTTTTATGCAAAATTCGCATGAAAAGTCACATTTAATAAAAAAAAATTCTATTAGTGTGCATAATCATTTAAGAATAATAAGAATATAATTTCACCTACGGATTTGGGGAAAAGAGATAATGGATTCTAATCCTAAGCATATACTTGATATATAGTAGGAGACTCTTAAGCTTGAGAGGGAGGTTACACTCACTAAATTTTGAATGGTTCGAGAATATTGTAGTCTTCCTACATGTACTCTTTTTTTTAGCATGGTTACAAGAACATCACCACCTATGATGATCTTCTAGAGATTGTATTGGGTAGACTTGATGAACATCTCCATCTTATTCTTCTAATATGGATAGTCTTTTCCATTAAAAGCTAGTGGCCTTATAAGAGAATCTCCTTTATGCAAGTAATGACCTTCACTACTTCCTATCTTAGGATCTTTACCTTTAGCATGGTTAGATTCTTAACCCTATCAAAGGCTGAGCTTTGATAACAAAATGTAGAGAAAAGAAAGACACTAAAAGTGGGGGGGTCGAAAAGTGTTAATTAATCGAATACTCAACACCTTTTTGAAAAGAGTGAAGTAGTGATGGAAGACTTGTTGGAGACCCGGATTGATGTTGAGTTTCCTTCAAGCTCCTCCCTAGATCTTGAACTCCTTGATTCTTCCTATGCTTGGTTAAGGTCTCCTATGGAGGAGGAGGCCTTAAGACCACCACGGTTGGTGGAGAAACACTCCCAAGAGGCGCCACTCCTTGTAGAAGAGATAAGCCCCTTCAATTCTCACCACACTCTTCTATGAAAGGGATAAGAGAATTGGATGCACTCAAAGAGGTTTAGGGACTTTTGGAAGAGAGAAATCTGAACTCTATTCAGAATATACAATCTCAATTACATCAAAAGTGTTTTACAATGAAGGAAAAACAAAAATATAGGAGTAGGAAGCTTGGAGAGCAAGCTAGTCTTAACCATGGTTCACTAGGAACCATGGAAATCCGTAGGTGAAATTATATTCTTATTATTCTTAAATGATTATGCACACTAATAGAATTTTTTTTTATTAAATGTGACTTTTCATGCGAATTTTGCATAAAAATTCTCGAAAAACGTTGTTTCTGCAAATTTTTCTACGAAATTTTATCTCCAGGTAACACTTTTATGAATAATATGTTTTTGCAAATTTTAAAATTCGCAAGAAATTTTCCTGCAAAATTTCTTGCGAAAAAATTTCATGAGAAAGTTTATCAAAGAAATTACTGTAGAAAGTTTATTGCGAATTTAAAATTTGAAGGTAATTTTTGTGAATATTCTATTAATAATTCTTCAACTTTCAAATATTTACAATGAATTCATCTTAAGCATTAAGAAATTTGCTTTCACACCTCCAACATGTGATACATAATCTTTTAAACTTTTAGATTGTAAATTATAGGTCTAACACTCAACCATACAAAATTAACTTGTAAGGTGAGTGTTGCCATTTTGAATTGTTAGCTAAGAAGATGATGATCTATTCAGAATCTCATGTCTTCATAAGAGTTATAGCTTATTCTTTTATCTTTCTTTTGAGATAGGATTGAGATCATTGGACGAGTGTAACTCTCTAAGTATCATTTCTTGCCAGTTGTTGAAGGGATATATACGGTGTCATGATGTTTTGAGTGTTAGGCAATGCAAGGATATAAAAAAAAAAAAAAAGCTAATTTGGTTATGATGTTTTGAGGTGTTTTCATGTAGATTGAGAGGTAGTTTAAGGTTGTATGATGCTATGTGGTAAAGTTGGGTCATGTACATGCTATATGGAGTAAATA